TGAATTTTGCTTGCGAAACATCTCGTTCATGCTCGTAAGGTTCTTTTACATGCCGTAAATTTACGACAATCCATCATCCTCAGCTGGGTTTGGTTTGAACCCTCGAACCTACCTACTCATATACTCAACTGTAAAGCCAACATTGATTGTAGATATTAGACTAAAGCATTGGGTATAAAAATTTGTAGATGCATAATGCAGAAACATAGATATACCTATTGGCTGCTGTTTGTTTGTTATCCTGTCTGTGCATGTGCATAACACGACACTATGGTCTTCTGGGTTTTGGTGCTGTGAGATCTCATAGGTGATTACCAGTGTTTTGGTGAAACCTATTGTCTGTGTTCTGTGTCCTGTTCATGGTTTCTAGTATTCTTGAGCAAACCATTGCCTCCATATTCAGGATAGAAAATGGATGTGATAAGTCTCTCTGTAAAGTTAGTAAACACCTCCAAGACTGTGTGGCATTATAGCCCAGAAAATAATAATCCAAATTTTGATCATTTGGTATTGGATAGCTTTCTAAAATAAAGAAAACAAATAATATATTATGAAAATGGCTGTCTTCTGTGTCTTAGTGTCATGTAGTCTGGTAGAAGTTAACCAGTATTTCAGAGGTCCTTGCTGTCTCCATCATTAGGGCGATGAGTGTGTGCCCTGATGACGGAGGCAACAAGGACCTCTGAAACATTGGTTAATTTCTGCCAGACTACAAGGCACTAAGACCCAGAAGACAGCCATCTTTGTTCTCACTGCCATGAAAACCTCAAATCCTACTTAATAAAATGTTTTATCACATCAAATATTAATTGAATGAAAGAACTTCAAGAAATTTTTATACTCAGGAAAACATTTTTGTGAACATATAAAATCTTGTTCGTGTCATGACTAAATACAGCAAAATCTTCTCGCGCCATCAGCACTGCCAGTACAGAATAAAAATCATTATCACTCCCTGAAAAAGGAGAAAAAGACACGGTGTCTGATTTTTACTATAGTTTGATATGGCCGATCACTTCATTACAGATTTTTATTAAATTTAATAGTTACATTACATAATAAAACCAGAATCTATTAATGAATGAATGAGTAGAACGAGAGGAGGGTGATTAACAAACCCCAGCAAAATCAATAATCATTTGTGCATCCCCTTTTGTTATTCTACAGTTTATGTGAAGTGCTGTACTTTTCTTAGTAGGGCCTTGTGGTCATTTGGTTTCATAAAGTGTTGTCCCAGGTGATGAAATCTAAGTTCAGAGGCTCTTCTTTCTTTATTATGACATCTCTCATGGGTGGGACTGTTTGTCACTTCCAGTTTGAATAAATGTCCCTTTAAATTATGGTATCCTGTCAGGACTCCTGTTACTATCATCAGCTGGTTCCTGTTAATTTTTTTATAGTTTTCTTTGTCTTGCAGCAGAGAGCTTTTGAAGGAAGTCCTTCGCATGTTTTGGCCACATGAGGACTGTTAGTACTCCTTGTGTTTTCTCTTCATGTGGTCCCTAATAGCCTGCTTATAAACTTGAGTATTTATGGTACTTGATAATGCCAGGCTGCCAAACTCTAACATTTTTTAGATCAAAATTAATTTTCAGTAGCACATCTACAATTTTCACCAGATTAAAAATATTACAAACAAGCATTTCAAAATTTATTTAGATTTTGTCATTACAGTGCCCTTTCTCTTTCTGTATGTTTGTGATCTCTGAAGAATACTTTTTTGTGCAATCCAGCATAAAAAATTTCTGTTTGCAATGGGTTTATTTTGTCATTGCATATTCTTATGTCAGTTCAGTTTAATTTAGTATCTGATATCCATTAGGTACCTTGTTGAGAAGCTGACTACAAGAGATATTGACATAGGCTACAATCCTGATTTGCAAGAAATGACTTATATGATGTCTACAGTGATTGGAAAGAAATTTGATAGTGATAAATGTCCAGAAGGTTTTATACGTGATGAGCAGCACTTACACTGCAGAGGTAACTCTATGGAATAAGGCAATGAATTCTCTTAGAATATTTTAGCAGGAGTAGTTTGATAAGTGTAAACATTGTTTTACTGTTAATACTATTACTGGTTAAACTCCAAGTCAAAATCTGGCTGTGAATCCTGTAGAATAGGGATTTAAATTGTCTCTTCCATGTGATAAAGGTTAAATTGGTTGGCCTGGAATAAATGGGATACAATGAATTTAAATGGCATGGAAAAGGGGTTAGACAGAGATCAAAATGTATCGGTATACCAGTTAAAATCTTAAAACTTCGCATACCGTGTAGTGTATTGGAATATAAAATATGCATACAAACAAAACCAGTTATTTATCAGTTTTCACAAAGTGGTATATGGATATGAAATGGTTATTACCCTTAATGGTTTGTTGTTCTTGAAACCTTCAGTACCAACCAATATAAAAACCACTGATATCATCATACCATCTTCAGACCTGGATATTATCAGTATTACACATAAGTCACATAACAAGAAACAGTATAAATGGACTTAAATGTGGTATAACTGTTGTATCATTACAGACATTGATGAATGCCAAGAAAGAAGTACCAACAGATGTCACTATACACAAATTTGTGAAAATCTCTTTGGATCTTATCGCTGCTTCTGTCATCCTGGTTATAAATCCAAAGCAATTGGTAAACGTTGTATAGGTATGTTTATAAATAACTTTTCAGACTAAATTATATATAAGAATAATGTTCTTTTCTGTCATAAGTAACTTTACTCCAGAAGTGGATATTTATCTTGTTTCAGTTTCAGCAATATTCACAGGTTGGTGGATGGATGGAAGTAAATGTGCATTCTTCTTTGTGTATGTGCAAGAGAGTGTGCATCATTTACTTATCCTATTAAGATAAATGCTCAAATGAACCAGTAACATTAAAATTAATTATTTTTCTTTAATGTTCTGGGAAGAATGTTTCAGAAATGAAGCTTAAATTTCAAACAAAAATATTAAACCAAATTGCTGATTGGAATATATAAGCTGATTATTCAGATAATAAAATAACTCTAAACATTTTCTGAGCATTTCGTCTTGTAAGAACTTTTTCGTGACTTTATATCAACCATTAACATCTGTTCATGGGCTGAAATTACAGGTGGCAGTTATACTGTAAAGAAACGCTGTTCTACAAGAAAGTAATTGCAAAATCTAAGATTTACCTACAAAATATTTTATTCCACAATAGTCAGATCCATCATACACCCATATAGAACAGAAATTATAAGTTAAACTTTTATTATGTTCCAATATTGCAGTTTAATGATGATGGTTTTGCACTGTGTTCTGTACGGGCAGCTCATAACGTCTTGTTTCACACCATAATTATCTTAATGTATTTCTCCATTCCTATTCAAAATAAATGAGTATAACCAGGCCCTTTACAGTTTATTGGTTCCATGTTGTATGTTAATAATAATTACTACAAATTATTTTACAACTGATGAAGCAACTAAATAAATTATAATTTGTGTACTTTGGTGTTAATACGTTGTTTTATATTGTCTAAGTATTACAGATGTGGAATTTACTGAATGGCAATGCAGTCACTAGAATGAGAATCAGAAACTGCAGTTCTGAATATAAAAGTTTCAGTATTTAAAATCAAAAAGCCAGACTAAAACAATTGTTTTGATACAGCTGGTATATAAATTGTAATTTCATTGATATTAGTATTGTGTGGTCAAATGAAAATCTGAAAACAGGGCTTCATTAATCTTTTTTTGATTGCTTTCAAGTAAATACTGTAAATAGAATTATATGTTGTTTGTTTAGTGAACATGGAACTTATATTTCTTTATAATCCCTTTATCCAATTTATAGTAATTTTATTTCCAGATATAAATGAATGCATGGAAGATCCTTCGATCTGTTCTCATCAGTGTCGCAATGTGAAAGGAAGCTTCAAGTGCTTGTGTCCTAGAGGCTATGTTTTACTAGAAGATGGCAGAACGTGTTCAGGTATGCAGTACAATGTATTACTGCATAATATTATGTCATGAAAACTTTGCAATGAACATACAATGAACACTAATTTATTTACTTATAAAATATTCCTCTGCAAAATTTTAAAGGAAAATTTAAATGTTCTGCATTAAAACAATATGTAACTAATGCCATGATAATGAATCACACTTGAAAAGTTGAAAGTTATTCAGCTGGTCATAAAATTCTCAGCTTCTATTTAACCTAAAGGTTCAAAGCATTCTCATTTCAATTAATTGTAAAAGCAGACTGATGCTCGAGCATGATTTTAAAGTTACTAACAAGAAATTTATCACCTTTATGCGGAACCAAAAATGTCATTACTGTGTTTACAAAAGCCTGCCCGTGGTGCCTATCCTGAACCACACTTCTTCAATACCCATTTTAATATTATTCTCCCATCTATGCCTATATCTTCCATATAGCCTCTTTCCTTCAGGATATCTGACTAAAATGTTGTATGCATTTCTATGTGAACTACAAGTCCTTTCGAGCTCATCCTTCTTGATTTGATCATAACAATACTGGGTGAAAAGTAAGCAGTTTTCTCCAGCCTCTTTTGACGTTACTCTTTGGTCAAAATATTCTCCTTAGTTAAGTGGTCTCCTTGTCATGTCCTCAAGTTGTGACAGAGAAAACAGCCTCCAGATATGTAAATATATTGAATAAGCAGTTGCATTCAGCCCACAAGCAGTGGTTGTCTTTTTCTCTCTCAAGTCTGCATCTGACACATGAAACCACCTCTAACCGGATGAATACAGTCACCGAGAACTGTATCATTTCTGTCCCAAGCGCCAAATAGATTCAACTGCAAACCACTTACGTATCCCAGAAGGTGGCTGCTTATGTAGGGGCAGTGAACACAATGGTCAATAGTGTGTTGGTATGGAATATAATTTCAAGTTTCCAAGCACTATATTAGGAAATTTTATTAAAAATGTAATAATTGCACATACAGCTTCTGCTATGCTGAAGATTGTTGTGTGTAATGTGATTTTTAACTTAAAGCAAGAAGAGATTTGTGGATTTAAAAAACAATTCCTTATGATAATACTATTATTTCTCTCTCTCATACACACACCTCCTCATATTGTTATGATCTTTGCACTGAACTGTGCTAAATTATTGAAAGTCCATCTCAAAGCGAAGCACCTTTCAGTCGCAAAATGATGCAATAAGACAAACAATGAAGGTAATTTCTTTTCCATGCGTAGTTTTTAAATTTAATGACACTAAATGTTTTCAGTATTTAACTGTTTGAACTACAAAAATGATGCACATCCACATTGAGATGTAACATAAGTAATCTGTAGTTGAATTAAAATTACTTTAGATATATTGTTGGGTATGTATGTCTTTGGATAATAAGTAAGAGACCACTGGGGAGACCTGGACCTAGATGGGAGGATAATCTCAGGCGGGATCTATCAGAGATAGGAGTTGAAGGAGACTGGATTTTGTTGGCCCAGGACAGGGTCCGGTGGAGGGCTTTTGTTAATTCGGTGATGAACCTTCGGGTTCCATAAGCCATCTAGTTAGTGGATAATAAATTTCTAGCTGTGTAACCACCAGCAAATACGTTTGTTGTATCCCAATACAAAATCAAGAAACCTTATATAGTGTATAAAGTTCTTGCCTTGAATTATGAATATAATTTATAACATCTGTTGAACCAAGATTTAAATCTTGGGAATCCTGTTTATAAAGCAGGAGTGCTAATCTCTTGACCATGATATTTAGTTATAAAGACATATGAAGAGTGTTTATATTCCCAGAACACTGTTACAGTGGATATTTCCATTCTTATTACAGGTCTTCAGTACTGGTCTGACAAGAGTGATCCCTCTTCAAACCCTCACGATGATTTAAATTTTCACCCTCAATCTTCACATGGTCTCCGCAACCTTCCAGTGGGTCGCAGGCATAACAATGGTTATGAATACTTTCAAAATGTTGACCACAAATTAACTCGCCACAGTCCGCAGCACTCTTGGAGCAGAGTGGAAGATTCCTGGAGCTGTCCTCAAGGATTTGAGCCATCAAATGGAATTTGTCAGGGTAAGTTAATTTCAACATCATGTTTTCTTGCCACTTCTGAGAAAATTTAAAGAGTTTGGTTGGGAATGATTATTTTTAATTAATTTTAATAATTTTTATGGTTACTGAAAAGTGGATTTATAAATATAATGCTGTAATTTATTATGAATTTAAGATTTTGTAATAGATATTAATGAACAAACATAAAATAACTAATAACTAATAATATGCTTCAGCAAAGATTGTTTTCTATATTTGTAAAGTTTAAAGGGCATTCATGTCCCGCTAATATTGCCAAGTTTCAATACATGTGACTATATTACCTCTTTCACTGTTACATAGTAGGATTTGAGGTTGTCGCAGTAGTGAGTATGAAGATGGCTGTCTTTGGATTGTAGTTCCATGAAATCTGGTATAAGTTTACTAACATTTCAGAGGTACTTGCTGCCTCCATGATCAGGGTGATAAGTGCAACCTGATGATTGAAGCAGCCTGCATCTTTGAAACATTGGTAAACTTGTACCAGAGTACACAGCGCCACAACCCAGAAGACAAACCACCTTATCTGTTACATTTTTCAAAATGCTGGCAAGTCCTACCATCAGATTTTTATCCAGATATTATCACATTCTTTATTTGACCTTGAAACAGCTGCATTTGGTATTATTTGAATTTTGTGGTTAAATGTAACCTTCATAAATTAAATAACATGAATGTTCATTATTTTAAATTATTTTAAGAACAAAATTAATAACATGGAAAATGAATATATTTGAGTTGGTGTCACAGACAATGTACATGTCAGTAGGTACACTTAGGGCTGGCAGTGAAAGGGCTTAACCAAAAATCTCGTCTCCTGTTTCATATATACCACGTGCTAGTTTTGCAAAGTATGAGGTTCTCACAAAGCTGAACGTATTGATAGTCTTCTGGGTTATAATACTGTGGGTAGATGCAAACATTTCAGAGTAACATCCTGTCTTCAGCCCTGAAGATGGAGACAGTTATGTTTCTCTGAAACATTGGTATCTGCCCACATATCCACAGTGTTACAACATAGAATACCAATATTGACAAGAACAATATTAATATAGGTAAGGCCAGGACAAAACACAGCTGTGATGGTACTATAAAGACAAGTAGAGAGAAAGGATTTATTTTTCTTTGTCTTTTTTGTACGAATGACAAAAGTGGAAATGTGTACTCCAGTAGAGTACACACATTTTGTAAATGTTTCCATTGTGGCTTTTCTTACATCATTTGCCCAGACCGTCATTTATAGGAGACATTAATTTATTGTTGCAAAGGTGATAGTGTAATGGATATCACTTTTCAAAGTCAGATATTGTTTGTTTGTTTTTTAATTTTGTTAAATATTCGGAATATCAAAATGTAATATATATAAAATAAAAGTTGTTCTTAATGAGTTATATATTCTACGTTACGGACTAAGCTTTTTGTAATGAGTCATTTTTAGAAAATCAGGAAGTTTATTTGAGCTTCATGTAAAGTAGGACTTATACTGAACCAAAATGCAATTTCATGGCAACTTTTAGTGTAAAGGTCCCAGTACTAAATCCGTTGTCGTACATTGTAAAGCTTCAGACAGAAGCCTGTGGATACAGATGGACAGATGAACATCCATGTTATGTGCTCATTCATGTTAACTCATAAGAAGGTACAAAAACTATATGTAGCTGAGTTGTGGTCCCCCAAATCACGATGCCGAGGATACATAATTATCTTTCTGTTCTCCTTTTCCTGATTCAACCTCTTTTCTCTTGCAGATGTAGATGAATGCAGAATTGTTCCAAGTGTGTGTAACATTGATCAGACATGCCTGAACACAAAGGGAACACACAGGTGCTTAGAGACGCCGTGTCCGTCCGGTTATGAGAGGGACATGGACACGAGGTGAGCAACTTGTAACAATCAGGTTGAATAACAGGATATTTTTTGTAGCTAATAAGTGTTATTTAAAACATTAATTCAATGTCATGAAAATTCATTCTTTTAAAGACAAATAAATAAAATCAATTAAATTGATACAACAGCTATTAAAATAAATCGTGGCGTAACAGCTCCAGAGAGCCAAAGCCGACTAGCTTGACTGCTGGTCTCATGTTCACATGCCTAAGCAGAGGTGAACGATCATCCAACCAGATATAGGGTGACGTGTGGTCAGCACGACGAACCCCCAGCCATTGCTAGTTTCCATGACTGGATTACGCTACCCATTGTAGCTCCCCAATTTCCTCACGATGCTGGGTTGGCACCGGTCGAAAGCTGATGAGAAAATTTCTTTTCCCCCGAGACTCGAACCAGCGCGCATTCTGTATCGCCGGTTTGAAGCATGATGCCTCAGACCGCGCGGCTATGGCGCGGGAAACAACAGTTATTAAACAAATTAAAAACTTGCTGTCTGTATTGATAAAATACATGTATATTATTGAACACAGACCAGTCACTGTACTCCACACCAACATAATAATTACAGGTTATAAAATTATTTTATTTTTCAGGAATTGTGTTCAGTTCTGTGATGAACCAGGGGTTAAGTGCAAGGAAGGAGCAATGCTAACACAAACTATTAGCTACACTGTACTTACGTTAGGCAGGAATGAAGTACAGCCGTATCAAGATTTGATGCAGTTCACAGTTTTTGGGGAAGATGGTGGACAGTTACCAAGAACAAGATACAGGATAGTTGAAAATGAAATAGGTTTGTTTGATTATGTGCATGTTGTTATAGTGAAATTAATTTCTGATACATTTTTGAATGTGATTGAATATTAACTGAACCCATTCATGTGCGCATAATTTTTTATGTAAATACGTCTATAAGGAAGGATCATTCGGCAAAAAAGTGGAACGAAAAAGTGTAACAATGGTTACCTAGGGAACGTCGTCTGTTTACTCGGCATTATTGTTACCTACGAAACATCATCTGTTTACTTGGCATTGTTGTGTTACCTAGGAAACGTCATCTGTTTATCAACAAATCGACAATAATGGTTACCTAAGGAACATCTATTTACTCGGAATTATTGTTATAAAACATTTCATTACATTCAGCTACCACAGACCCATCTTAAGCGTGACTAATTCAAGTTAAATAAGCAATGTCTTAATCAAACTTATCTCAAATGTAAACCATGTATAAAGGAAATATTTAGAATAAAGCCAATATATAAACTTCCTTTCCGTATAGACGTATTTACGTCAAATTCTCCGGAACCATGGTTCCACTGACAACTTTTTAATTAACATGTCAACTTCTAAATACTAATATTAACCATATTTTTAAACAAGATTTTACAGTAAAAGCTGTGATATCAACCTCGCTACTACAAAAATCAATGCCAAGATACAAGACATATCTTTAGTGTGAAAGACTACATAACTTAACCATGCCAAATGATGTGGATCTGTGGAAAGTTAATTGTTATTGTTTTTACAGAAATACTTTTTAACAAACCCTGAAACCGCATTTAACACATTCACTGCTGTCTAAATTTAATCTTTATTTACTAATGGGAAATCTCTTTCTTGTGAATATATTTGTAACTGGCTGAATGATTCGACATTGTCTTGTTTTATTATGACAGTATTCAAATAATTATTTTTTATGAGAACAGAACCTGCTGTATCTTAATGCCTCTGTAGGCTTCTGAGATTTATTTGTAATTGAGTTGGGTTTCCATACTGACATATTCTGAAATTTGTAAGTCTTTTCATCAGGATATTAGTATTAAAAAGTGTCCGTAAATATTGGGAACCAAATTATTTTACTTGTGTCTATGTTTTCCACTTTTTCCAGTGTGGTGTCAGTCTCCAGAAATGCAGTTTGGCATCATACAGCCTAAAGCGGGGATAAGCACAGAGTTCCACATTTCATTTTGGCCATTTTAATTTTGTCCGAGATTCTTTGTTTCTTGGGGAATATGCATAACGCCATGCTCATTTTTCTTCTGAGGGTAAAAAATCAATGTGTTTTATGTCAGGTTACGTCGGTAGGGGTTGATCTCTTCTGTGAGGTGGCCTGAAGTCAAGACACTCTCCTACTCATTTGTATTCTGTCCTTCTGAAATTTGTGTTTGAAATTTTGATTGGATAATTTTGAGTAACAAGAGGATACCTGTTCAGAATTTAAAGGTCCAGGAGTTAAAAAAAAATGTTCCTCTTCCACTTCTAAGTACATTTGGTAATGGAGTAACTGGAATGTGGTCACTCTTTGAAAATGTTATTACAATCTACATCCATTTAGTGAGAAAAAAATTAAATTGAGTGAATGTATGCAAATGTCAAATGATGCGACTGTGTTAGCAATTAACTTCGCAGTACCCACGTCCTGCAATAAATTTGTTAATACTGATATTAATATTATTAAATTGTAGGTAAACCATTCCGAGTCCGAATCGAAAATGGTCAAGGAATTCTGTATACGCTGAAGTCTCTGAAATTGGGAAGGCTGTACAGGTAAGTACGATTTTGTGATCGTAAGGATGGCTAGTAATTTATTTGAAAAAGGTGGGAAAGTTTAATTATGTATGTATGTACGTTAGTTACATGTGGCTTAAATCTCAGTCATTACTTAAATAATGACAAAAGTGTTTTTTTGTTTACAGAATAGTTGTTCTTGCGCTGTCGTATGATGAAGATGAAAACAACATTCTCTACACAACAAAGTATATTACATTCATAAATTTGCTTGATGGTTCTTAATCTGAACGCCGAAATAAAAATAAAACATGTACCACTCTTATACAAGTGACAAAAAATTAAACTGTGAAGCTGTCAATCAATGTTTCATAAACTGGATACAGTAATTAATCATAATTCCTTCCTGTAAACCTTTCATCCAACAAATATTTTGGTAAAGACATAATAGTACTATTTATTTTAGCCTTTGACCTTGTATATATAAAATCACCTGCTGCTTGCAGCGTACATGATACAAAGAAGTGATAACAGATGACATGATGGGCTATATGTGGTGGAAAATAAGGAAAAGCGTGCTTCCCTTCGAGAGTCTGTCCTCCTCTTCAGACCTCCTAAAACGTAGCCATGATCAAACTTTTGAGAGGTAAAAAAGTTGTCAGTGGAACCACGGTTCCGGAGAATTTGACGTAAATACGTCTATACGGAGAAAGGAAGTTTATATATTTTGTTTATTCTAAATATTTCCTTTATACATGCTTTACAATTGAGTAAAGTTTGATTAAGACATTGCTTATTTAACTTGAATTAGTAAGGCTTCAGATGGGTCTGTGATAGATGAATGTAATGTAAAGTAAGGTAAGGTAAGGTAGGGTAGGGTAAGGTAATATAATGTAATGTAAGGTAAGGTAATGTAATGTTAGGTAAGGTAAGGTAATGTAATGTAAGGTAACTATGTAGGTAACCATTGTTGTTTATTTGTTGATAAACAGATGACGTTTCCAAGGTAACATAACAATGAAGTTACAAATTTTTGTTTCCCTTTTTCGTTACATTTTTGCCGAATGACACTGACCCTAAAATATAGACGTATTTACGTCAAAATACCTATTCTGGTGAACAAATTCAATTTAATTCTTTATTATTAGTGCGCTGTTTCAACAGCTAGAAGGCCAATTACAGATACAGCACAGAGACGAACACATGAACACAATAAAAACAAAAAAGGTAAAACAAGCAGAATATAAAATACATTAATACGGAGGACGTTAATACACAAGAAAATTGCAACTAAATATATTAGCATATTTGTAAAAATAATTTAAATCAATTAAGTAAATTATACTATTATAGAATGTGAAGAAGTGTGACAATTTTTGTCTCCAATATGTCCAAGTCTCTGCGGACGACATTGATAAGAACAATAAGTTGTCCGGTTAAGCGTACTTCCTTTTGCGTTAAATCCCAATTTGCGTTGGAGGGGAGAACAAAATCAGAGGGAAGGGAAGACATTATAAATTTAATAATAACAACAAAATGATTTATTAATAATCTTGAACAAATACATTACATGAGATGTTTTGCAAACATGAAAGTTTATTATTTTATGTTTTCTGGCAATGAATTTTGTCATAAGTAATGCCACATTCACAAATATGGTATTTCTTGTACGTCTGGTAATTGTATTCTGTTCTGGAAATTAATATTTAAATATACCTGAAATGATTCTGAAGTTATTAAAAAGTTTTATTTTTGTTAATTGCCCAAGTAGGATAATTTATTACTTCTGCTTCCATAATATGTGTGTAATTTAAATGTAGCCAAAACATAAGTGAAAATTTGTATATTTCCACTTTTTGCTATGAAAACATTGGATTGTGTTGAAATTAAATACTTATAGGCAGTAAAAGTACAATTTATGACTACACATTTTCTGGTTTAAAAGGTGTTTTCAAATAAACGTTCAATCCCAAAAATTGCCTATTTAACAAGTTTCCTTGTTAATCAATTTGAATTATTTGTCAAAACAGATATTAATACTCTGGAACTATATATTATGATTTGAAACCTAACATTATTACAATATTCACCTTTCTCGTAATAATATGGAGAAAATTCTCTATGTTGTAGTGTATTGTACATTGGAGGGAAAGGTCAGAGGAGTGATGGAATTGGTTGTTAAGGGGAAAGGGTAGGGTAGAGGAGAGTACAGAAGAAAAAAATTGACAGTGGAACCACAGTTCCGGAGAATCTGACGTAAATTTAAGCAATAAATACAATGCAAGGAAGGTATCTGAATGTAATGAAATGTAATGTCAAAATTATCTAGTCTACGACACACTTCTTCTACAAGCGATTCACAGCTCAGTTCTTTCTGCAATAACGAAAGCGGATTGTTGATGGCAGTAATGTAACACATGCTCATGTCTGAAAGCAGCACAAAAAGTTGATCACCTCATCTATGACTGCGAAAAACTACAACAACCAAGGCGTAAATTAATAGATGCAATAGCCAAGAATGGTGGCACATGGCTAGTGTTACATGAAGCACTTGTTCAAAAATATTTAGGTCATTTTAATACATTCATTAAATCCATAGATTATAATACAGTTTAGCACAGGAACATGGGTACAAAGGGTGGCAATGAATCACGATATTACAATTGTGTAATCTGTTAACGTGTTATACATTAATGCATGTAATATGACAATCTTGTAATGGGGCCTCTGTTACGAAAGATAATTCTATCACTTTAGATTTCTTGATCCACGACCTTTGTTAGAGCTTTTGAGCGAGCTGCAAAGAATTCGTTTTATTTTTATTAATAATCTGTGTGCTATATAATTGTCTGAATAAACTGAAATGCACTCCATTCTGTGACTGTCCACTGCTTAATTTCCAAGGTGCCGCTGGTTGACACCGTCCAGCAGCAGCCGTCCGGGAGTGGACATGATGTTGGTGTTTGTAAAATGGAGAATGTTTTTAATTTGGGAGCATGTGATTGAGGTTGGGTATCCAACAATCCCTCGCAGATCTGAATTGAGTTTTCCGTTGCTAAACATTTCAGAAAATAAGATCGGGAAGTATTTTTGCTGGTTCGGTTCGCTTCGATGTAGTGTGAGCCGGCCTTACTTCCACTTGCCATGCCTGGCATCAAAGCCCAGTCACCTGTAGCCTAGTCGCCTTCCAAGTATAGTTCTTCTATTTCAATGAAGGAGAACGCATTGTCTGAAGTGGACTTCCTTATTCGCGCATGAGCAACCACGCACATTTCATGTTTACAGACAGGTTGTTAAGCCCCCACACACCAGTATATAACAATACTAGGCTGTGATATAAGTAGTGCAACATGATACTTGCAATTTGTCATTTGCAGTGGCCCCGTACACGTTGCTACCAGGTGATGATATAAGCAGTGCAACCTGTTAATTTAATTTTCACATGGCTTGAAATATCAAGAAGAAAGCACTCGTGAGAAGACTGTCGGTATCGAATTTACATGTACCCGTTTTGGTATCACTTGGAGTTACGTATAGTGAATGTTTGAAAAGTAAGAAAGAAAAGGGCCAAAGAGAAGGCTGACTGAAAAAAAAATTACTTGCTATTTTGTTAAAACAACTTGTGATCAACAAGCCACAACATTTGCACTACTTACGATATAACGAGTTCTTTCAAATTATAGTTACTATACTACAACCAAACATCGAGAAAACACATTAATGAGAAATGATGTTGCAGTAGCAGCAATTCCGTTTCCCAGAGCGTGATGACATCGCAGGCTGGTAGTGTAATCTACTGCAACTTACTCCCTGAAACCAACCCACGCCTTGTAATTTCCGTCATGATTCTCAGTTGCACTACAATTGTAATTTATATCAATATGCATGGTGCGCTTAATTCTAAATATAGAATTATAGCAAAGCTTCTGTACTTATAAGAGTGTTGTTTTATTGTTCTGTATGTGCTGTTCTTGCACAATAAATTCTAGAGATAGTGTTTTAATTTATTACCAAATTACTTCATGAACAAAAATTAAACAAAGGATGTCGACTGCACTCAGTTAAGCACATGAAAATCCATAAATTTTGAAGTTTGTCTAATTGCTTGATTTCAACGATAATATCCAAAATTGTTTGAATAATCTTTGACGTTGTTCTTCTGTAGTGGACTTTGGCGTTGCTGCGTATGTGATTAACATTACATCAAGATTCAGTGGAACAGATTAGTCAGAATACTGTAAAATGGATACGTGAAAGATTGAAGTTGTGTTTTACTGAGCAAATTGTTTCAAAATGGAGCTAATAGAAAAATATTTGACAAGTGAAGGAAAAAAATACAGTTCAGCTGTCAGAGAATCAAGAATTTGGAAGATTCGTGGGTGTTGTAGATTTTCAAAGACTGATAAAAATCCCAGAAGATTCAGGAAGAAAATCAAGTTTGGTACACATTGTACAATTCGTCAAAAGAAACTACATTTGAGCGAAAGTGTGTCTCAGGTTATGTTTTGTATGATAAACTGTAGAGATATTTGGAATGTATGTGATATAAACTGAACTACTTAGTTTCATATTAGGATATAGCCATAGCGTGTGGTTGGCGAGTTCAGGGCTTTTAATGGAGAATGAAGGAAGTTACGTGTTTTAAGTGAAACGAAAAATATATCCATATCTTAAGGCATATTAATCTCAAAATATGGAGTTCTCGGGCATTGCTTTTTGTGCTGGAGATAAGAGGACTATAAATTTTCATGCAATTCCATTGTTATCACCAAAAACTTTGATTAATCAGTCATCAAGTATGGGGATACATAAATCTGAAGACATACCATTTGTTGAGCTCACTGGCCATAAAATTGGAGAGCCACATCATCATTCATCTTTTGAAGTGGCAAAATTAAATTTGACTAAACACATTGGCCTAACAAGAAAATTTCATAGTTTCACAAATACTTCAAAAAACATGAGAGGTGTGAGTTTTGTACCACAGAAAGATATGTATGGTCCAAAGTTTCCAACAGTTTCTTTGTCACAGTTGGTAGGTGGATTTGTTGGTAGTAAAAGCCAAATTGGATCTTCTGGTAGAGAATCATGTCAAATCTGGGACATAATTTTTGACAAACTTGTAGAATTCTGTGGAGCACCACAGTCTGCTTGCTGCTCAATATTTTCAGGCAAAGATGCTCAGAGTTGTTACAGTTTTG